GATGTGGCTAGTAAGTAAACAGGTGTTGCAGGTTACTACGAGTCTTCAAAAAACTCTCAGTATGTGGCGTTTCAAAGAAGGAAAGATTGAGTGAAGTGTGCTGTGTGAAATTGCATGTTGAAGAAATGAGTGTGAGATCTTGTGTATTTAAGAAATAAGTGTGATTAGTGATTATTCAGAAAAACGGGAAGGTTTTTTTAAAAAAAGGAATACACTCTATTCGAAATGAGATAATAGCATGCTGGCTATCCTCAAGCATTGTACTTTAGAGTCTTCTTGGAAGATTCTTTAATTTTTTTTTTAATTAGTCTCTCAAAACGCCCTTTCCATGCTATCAGAAACACAACAGCTACTTTCAGACACATGCACGCAAAAACGAGCATTATGCGTGATACCCGAGAACCATTTGTTTGTTTCAAAGGTTCTTTCGTGGAAGACATGCCGCTAGTTCACACAGTTCGGAGCAAACCGGCTTAAGTAAAGTTAATTAAACAAATACTGGTCTTTTCAGCTTAACGTTTTCGGTGTGTGTGTGTGTGTGTGTGTGTGTGCAGCGAGAGTAATTGAGATGTGGGATGAAACACATTGCCAGCAAAGCTTTAGAAATCTGACTTCAAACATCCAGCCCACACATGAGTTTTAAATGGCAATAATCCTTTCACAAACAATTCCCCAAGAGCAAACAGACACATAACAAAAGTCATTCGGATCCACTTCTGGAAAAATAAAAAATGTATATATTATCTCTTTTCGCTGTATAGAACAGACTGGAACTGTGCTGCGTTGTAGTTTGGTCAACCGCACACTGTTTGATCCGATTGAGGAGCTCTGGCTGAAAAAGCAGTGGGCTGCTTGCTCTCCAGTCAGAAATTAATTCTATTCCAAAGTTGTGTATTTGTTGCACTCATTAACGCAACATTTTCACAGAATGCAAGAGAAACGCCTTTATTTCTACATGTGGCCTGAAGGTGTCACCATGCCCCCAGTAAATGCATTTTACAGCCTTCAAAAAATGTACCAAGTTCTACAGTAAATGCTATTCATCTGTCAAAGAGTGAATAGACCTGCTCTTTGTTTTTGAAATGCTTTAACTTCACAAAAACAATGAAATATAAAAAGCAAAATATATAAATGCAAAGAAAAACGAGATGAGTAAAATACAAATATTTAAAACTATATATTTTTATTAAAAGTGAAAACCGTTCAAATAGAAAAAATAAAATTATAAAGAAATAACTACACTATGGGGCCCAACAAGAGCTGTTACTCTGCCAGCCAAAGCTCCACTGTCTTCCTCTTATACGTGCTGCAAATGATTTACTAGTGAAGTTACTTTCATTTTTTAATTGTTTTAGTTACTTTAATGTTTGGCTGCAGGCACAGGTTGTTGCAGGGTAATAGCTTACATTTCTTTCCTCGTTTTTGAGTGAAGCCTTGTGCATAGGCTTCAGCTCTCTTCTTCGTCCTTCAGCTAGTTGTCAGAGGCACATCACTCACGTTGTCTATAACATCACCCTCTTCTGCTCAGACAGCCATTCTGTTAACGCTTTTCCAGCTGCAGTGGCACAGACACTTCTCCTTCTGGAAAAATATGTGTCCAGAATCCAACCACTTTGCCTGCAGAGATATCCTTTTGGATTCTGCAGTGGTGTTCCCATACTTAAAGTTCTCTTCAGGTCATCCGCCATAGCAGATGGAGGGGCCACAGCAAGTAGTGCACATGGAAGAAAGAATCTGAGTGGCTTTTTAAGTCTCTGCCAGAACTTCTCCCTACATTTTCCCTCTACTTTGGAGATAACGGGAGGAAATCTTCCTCTTATAAAGCCATTAATGCTGGAGTATGCTATGTTTCAGTAATAATGCGATAAGCTTTTCTTCCTGTACTGACCAAACTCGATGGCACTTTGACTTATCAAAGGGATCCCTTGCACCTTAGATTACCCTGACCTTTTACTCAATGATAGGTCGCCTTTGATTAAGGGACAGTGCCAGCTCCTCAGCTGGAGTGAGTGAATGTGGTGGTCCTCCACCTGTTTTACAGCTTCAGCCTTTTTTCTATTAGCTACATACAACAAAAAGAAAACTTAAATACTTATAACCTCACATAATTATTCTATCTGTTTTTGCCAACCCAACTCTGTCTTTTGCAGCAATATTGCTTTTTTGTTATAACTGGCATTTATTCTTCATAAGCTTGCATTAAAACCACCAATTCTGCTTGTTAACTCATTCACCAAAAAGAGGTTGATTGAACCAACTTCTCACAGGTGTTTTGGAAACAACATACCCAGAGCAAGCAAGGTTTGGTTTAATCAACCAAGAGTTCAGGATATATGTGACCCTGAACCACAAAACCAGTCATAAGTAGCACGGGTATATTTGTAGCAATAGCCAAAAATGTTCAGAGTACAAAAAAAAATAGGTTTTTCTTTTATGCCAAAAATCATTAGGATATTAAGTAAAGATCATGTTCCGTGAAGATATTTTGTAAATTTCCTATGTAAATATATCAAAACTTAATTTTTGAATAGTAATATGCATTGCTAAGGACTTCATTTGGACAACTTTAAAAGGCGATTTTCTCAATATTAAGATTTTTTTTTTTTTTTTTGCACCCTCATATTCCAGATTTTCTAATAGTTGTATCTCGGCCAAATATTGTCCTATCCTAACAAACCATACATCAATGGAAAGCTTATTTTTTCAGCTTTCAGATGATGCATAAATCACCCTTATGACTGGTTTTGTGGTCCAGGGTCACATATGTGATGGAAAGTTAACCTTGCTTTCTGGAACACCCCCAAGAATAGCAACTGGATAACAGAATAGAATAGAACCTCAACTGGCAGACACGGTGTCTTTTCAAAGAACTACAAAAGCAAAATAGTGTTTATATACAGATTGTGTGTTTATATACAGATTGTGTGGTTTTAGGCTCGATTTAGGTATGACAAAAGTGCTGCAATTAATTCATTTTGACAACTAATAGAATGTTAAACACTGACTGATAACATTTTCAGAGTTCTTTTGATTATATAAAATTCAGTGAAGGTTGACTATAATTATCTGCATGTCTCATCCATGAGTGGGCCTATGCAATGGAGAACAAGATTTTGAGGGTGTTAAGACCCAGAACCAAGCTTATTGAGCAATAAAGCTATAGTGAGCCCTTCTATTAAAATACCTGGAACCTAGGTAATACAAAAATAAAACAAAAATTGTCATTCACTCAGTATTACTTGATGTAATTCACAACTATCTCAATTACAATTAAGTACAAATTGATTGTACTCAGTTGTGTTTTAGGCACTAAAACAGTACAGTACTTTATAGTCAAATCCATTTCTATATTGAAATGAAGATTTCTGTGCCACCCCAGACTGGTTGCTACCCCCTTCCTGGCCACCCCTATGAAAACATCCTGGCTCTGCCACTGCCTAAGAGGGCAAAGTGATTAATATCAGTTTATTTCTCAGTATATTTATTTATTATTTCTGGGGGGGGACACATGTTTGTGAATGGGCATTTGATTTACATTTGAGAGAAACTAAGATTGTAAACAAGGAAACAAACTAGCCACTTTTCACTGAAAATTGCTGTTGTAAATTCAAAATAGGCCATCTGTGTTCAATGAGTTGAAATCTCTTGCTATGTCATACTTCAATACAAAATGCTGAACTTTGACAAAAAATTGATTTTTAAATGTTATAATAGCGATTTTATAATGTCTAAATATAAATCTATTAGCAAAACATGTGAAAAGAATTATATTGCAGAGTGGAAATGGTAAATGAGCAGTGTTGGGCAGTAAGGCATTACTTAGTAACGCGTTACTGTAATTTGATTTCTTTTTTAGTAACGGAGTAATTTAACCTGTTATAGTTTTCAAAATAGTAATTAGAGTATAGTTACAAGCCGAAGTCTCTATACGTTACTGCCGCGTTACATTGCTGACAGAATGCAGTGCAAATATTGTCCTATCCTAACAAACCATACATCAATGGAAAGCTTATTTTTTCAGCTTTCAGATGATGCATAAATCACCCTTATGACTGGTTTTGTGGTCCAGGGTCACATATGTGATGGAAAGTTAACCTTGCTTTCTGGAACACCCCCAAGAATAGCAACTGGATAACAGAATAGAATAGAACCTCAACTGGCAGACACGGTGTCTTTTCAAAGAACTACAAAAGCAAAATAGTGTTTATATACAGATTGTGTGTTTATATACAGATTGTGTGGTTTTAGGCTCGATTTAGGTATGACAAAAAACATAAAATATCTAAAACAAATACATTGTTATTCATCTATTGCAATTAATAGCCAAAAATGTTCAGAGTAAAAAAAAAATAGGTTTTTCTTTTATGCCAAAAATCATTACGATATTAAGTAAAGATGATGTTCCGTGAAGATATTTTGTAAATTTCCTACGTAAATATATCAAAACTTAATTTTTGAATAGTAATATGCATTGCTAAGGACTTCATTTGGACAACTTTAAAAGGCGATTTTCTCAATATTAAGATTTTTTTTTTTTTTTTTTTGCACCCTCATATTCCAGATTTTCTAATAGTTGTATCTCGGCCAAATATTGTCCTATCCTAACAAACCATACATCAATGGAAAGCTTATTTTTTCAGCTTTCAGATGTTGCATAAATCCCTTATGACTGGTTTTGTGGTCCAGGGTCACATATGTGATGGAAAGTTAACCTTGCTTTCTGGAACACCCCCAAGAATAGCAACTGGATAACAGAATAGAATAGAACCTCAACTGGCAGACACGGTGTCTTTTCAAAGAACTACAAAAGCAAAACAGTGTTTATATACAGATTGTGTGTGTTTATATACAGATTGTGTGGTTTTAATTTTAACCGTATTACAAAAAAAATATTAATTTCAGATATTTTTACATTTACATCCTTATTTACAACTTAATTGCACCTGCTTATGAATTTTTGCCTATAATAAGAACAGTTTATTCATGACTCGCCAGTAAGTGAGGATAGCTGGGAACATCCTGCGGTGAGCCGGATCCAGCTGGTCCAGGATGCCATAGGACCACACAGCCAGCTTTTTATGGCAACACTGACACTCCAGGTATTCTGTAGTCAGGAAATAACCAGCTGTGTAAAATCATTTCAGTTGAGTCAGTTGCTGACCAGACTGTCTGTAGTTTGGCAAAATGTAGATCCGCTTGTTTTTTGGGGGAAGGAAGCACTTCCAGGCCTTGCTAAGAACAACCGAGACACACAACAATCTGTAATTATATCAATATTCATCTGATGAGACATGAAGGCACACTTCTGTTGTGAAAACTGTACCTCAGGAGCTGCTGATGTCAGCCTGTAAGTGGCCGTCTGCTCCAAGCGAGTCAAGCAGATCAGTGCTGAAGGTGGTGGAAGTGCTATAAATTAGCTAGTCAACACAAGAATTTTCAATTTGAGGATGGTTATGCTTACACAACACTAAAATCACATATCTTACCAGGTGTGGTAAGAATGATTTCTCACCAGAAGTGGATCCTCAAGAGCAGCGATGTCTGGCTATACAGCTGCACTCCAGAAGGGTCCTGGATGCAAGTAAGATGCAGTTTGAAGACGGTTGTGGTTATGCAACACTATGATCTTAGTAAACGTATTTGTGACCAATCACATAAGATTATCTGAGCACAGACCAAAGCAGGCAGAATGTGGATTTCAAGCATGGATTCATTTTTCATTTTTAGAAAACAAATACATTTATATACATCACGTATTTACAAATAAATAACTATTTACAGAGAAGTATTTCCTTCATTTCTCATCTCTTTGCAGCCACTCTTCCACCGTTTTTCCCTCTGCTGTGGCTCCTCACCCTTGTGTGCCCAAACTCTTTCTGGGCTGCCCATATCGACTGTACATGTACTCTCTTTGTGCAGTTTGCTGGGGATGGGGCAGAGCAGAGAAGCAGAGAGAGCGGCAGCTGGCAGAGCAGATGTTGGCAGTGTTGGTGCAAGGTGAAGAGGTTGTTACCCAGGTCGTATGGCCTGACCTGACATGTCAGGGTTGACGACAAAGGGGAAGGTGGAAGTCCTGTCCCAGGCTCACCATGCATCTGAATCTGAGAACTGCATGAATGCATTGCAAAATTACACTTACAACTGGATGTGGCCCGCTGATCTCAAAAAGTTGAATCCTGGTCCTTCCCCTCAGTACAGGGCAGTTCCTGATAAGGTCAAACCCTGGAGTCCCGTCTGCACACATACAAGCAGATAGAAGATCAGTAATGATGGATGAAAATATCCTCCAAGTAATTGCATGGTAAAGGATGCTTGCAAACATACCTCTTCTTTGGGCTCAGATGGCAGGTCCTGAAAGGACTGAGACGATGACGGTACATCCTGAGACAAGCATATTGCTTCCTTGGTGGACATCAAAGAAAAAAGGGATATGGTGAGGTCCTGCTCCTCTTCCTCATCCCCAAATCCCTCATCTTCTACCTCCACCAAGTTGAAATTTCTCCCTGCTGTGAGCACACATACTCCACCCCGATGAGCTTGCCTGACAAAACCAAATTAAATAGAAATAAATAGAAATTAGGATAAATGGAAAGATTTCTGTTTCATGCTTCACTTCTACTAAGAATCAAATGGAGATATACAGTTGTATTTAAAATAGTATATGATCATGTTACCTTTTTTGTAGAGTCCATCTTCAGGATGGACCCAAAGACAGAGCTCACCATACTGGACATCTGGTCATAGATGAGCCACTTGGTGGTCAGTACAGACGGCATGGGTGGTGGCATGTGATGCCCTAACCGGTCACATGCAGCAAGGTATTGCAGGGACCTCTTTATACAGTCCTCACTATGTTGTTCACACAGTTTGTGATACAGCATAGAGAACACTCCCTCATCAGCTTTGCCCCATGTATATCACAAGAAAACCTGTTTAAACACGCAGACAACCAAGTCTAAGTTTATTAAAGTTCATTTAAAAGTGTTCCTTTTTAGCATTGCAGAGGGAAAGGTATGATGTATCTCAGACCAAAAAAACACAACTGACTACAAACAAGATCTTTGATGCAAGGTACATCACAGAAGTCTGGCAAGGTCACCCACAGTGTGCCGTGGTGTTGGAGTGCTATTGTTCCCATCAAAGGTCAAGCAAAGATCAATGGGGGTCGTTTACACATCCTGAGAAGAACCTCAGACACAGAGTCTTTTGAAAGAACCTTAAAAAAGAACTACGTTACATTACATGCTCTAAATTTTAACAGTATTACAAAACAATATTAAAGTAAAAAAAGTTATATTACCATTACACCTTCCGAAAATGAAACATGGAACGGAAGGATGCCATATGGAAGTGAAGTCTGAGATATATGCTGTAACCACCACCACAGCTGTTACATAAACACAAATTATGCACAATTGATTTGGTCATCTTTATTTCCTACAAATACAAAAGCAAGAGTTATTCTTTTTTTACTGTTGGATTTTAGTATTCTTCCAATACTTGGTATTATGGCCATCTCCTCTTCATCTGTTCTTCATTATTTTGCGAGCCTTCTTGCTCTTGACTGAGTAGAAGTCAAATGTTCATTTCATTACTCTAAGAAATGTAACAGGCTGGATTAGAGAATCTTTAATTATGTGAAAAGATTAGGCTACGTAAAAAAAAAAGCTGCTGCACATAGAAATAGACACTGAATTAAATTTATTTAATATATCAAATGTTTGTAAAGTCGTGTAGCCTACACCCATGAACATTTATGATTTTCTGCTTAAAGCTTTACCTGATTGAAATGTTTTTATACTTCATTTTTAGCTGCTGTCACGTGTTTTTTTTTTGTTTTTTTTGGCCCATGGGATACCATGAAAATTAATATTAGTTCAATAACCTACCGTTCTGCCAGTTTTCACCTCTGCTATTATAACAGAGATTAAAGTGATTAATAATTAAACTTATGCGTTGACTCAGAGTATGCGGATGTCTTTTTGTCGGTGCTGTTGCCATGGTGAATCATAATTTCGGAGCTCCATTGATGACTTCTCATAGTCATGGTGCACGCGCTAAACTCAGTCAACCTACTCGGAGTTGACTGAACTAACACAATTCAGCTGTTCTGAAACCAAAAACTCTTGAGTTTCCCATCTCAGGGTAAGTCAACTCAGAGTTCAAGTTTTAACTCTGAGTTGGTTGAACCTCCTTATTGAAACGGGCCCCTGTAATGAGGGTTGCTGGAAACATCTGCGGTGCACCAGATCCAGCTGATCCAGGATGTCATAGGACCACACGGCCAGCTTCTCAATGCAGTGCTGAAACTCCAGGTAGCCTATTCTGCTTTCAGGAAATACCAGTCAGCACCCGCCTCACTGTCTTGTAGAGCCCACAGTATGTCAGTCATTGACCGAACCGTCTGCAGTTTGGCATCCACAAACACAGCAGTCAGCGAGTCAAGCAGATCAGCGTTGGAGGTGGTGGAAATACTGTGAACAACACAACTATTATAGTCAAGCAGAGGGACAAGACGGTTATCACAACAATTATGATGTTATTTGTGATCATCACATATGATCAACTGAGCAGGTCAAAAAAGTAGGCCTACGTGTAATTTTTCACACACTCATCCTGTGACTCCACCTCCATAGTTGAAACCAGCAGATCATCTGTTGGCTCTAGCAGTGGTGCAAAAACGGGGTATGCAGTATATGCCGTTATAATCAAAAGCTTAGTTATTAAAAATAATTAATGCAACGTTTTTAGTATTTTAATGAGTTCAAAAATGTATTTATTAAAAACTTAAGACGCGGAACGGCCGTATCTCTTTATGACCACAACAAATGGGAGACTTTTCAGACGCATACTTAAGCTTGCCCTCAGCGCACGAGTCAATCAAACGCGGAAAAGGTACAAGTGCCAAATGAGCTTCAGTAGAACAACAGGGAACTGCGGTCTGATGAGATATTGTTATAAGTCAGTAAAACAAACTTTCCTGTCCTGTCAGCCGTTTTACTGTGCTCACGGCGCACGCTCTTCAACTGTACACGAATATGAGGCGCACGCTCACACTTTATAAATAAACCGCACTAGAAACTTGCGAGCATACATCGTCAGTTAAGTCACGAAATTACCAAAATGGCGATTAAGGGGCCATTCACATATCGCGTTTTTTGCGCGCTCAAGTTCGTTATTTCAAATGAAGACGCGCGGCAGGCGCGCTCATAATGGAAGCGACGCGCTCATTTTTTCCAGGCGCGTCCGTGCCGCATCGAGATAAAAACATTTCAACTTTTCAGAATGCCGCAAGCGCACCGCAGGGCATGTGACAAGAACCAACCAATCAGCTTCATCCTTTCCCGTAACAACATTGAAAGCTCAGTCAAGAGGAAGGAACAGCTGATCATAGCTGTACAGGGATAGCCATTTTTAAATAAATTTAGTAGCAGAGCTACTGCAAGCGATTTTTAGTGCTGCAAATCTATTTATCCTTTGCTGAAACTTCCACGTCTTCATGGAGAGCGCAGGCCATGGTTGCTTAGCAACGGCAGACGCCTCCGGAGCCCGAACACTTTGGGAAAAAAGCAGAAAGCAACGCGCCTAGCGTTTTCCATGCGTTTTTAGGCGCGATATGTGAACGGCCCCTAAAGCTGCAAAACTGTATGCATGTATGTGCATTACATTTAAGAACGACTCTCAAATGCATGCAGCCTACTGAAATATTCTGCAATTCGAGATCACAGTAGGGCGCAAGATGATAGGCTATGTAATTTTTTTATATATATAATTTAATGCATAAGTAGGCCAAAAGTGAGCACCGTGCAGTTAAATGTATTAGAAAATATGCACACATTTTTAGTTAATTTTTAAAGTACCAAAATGAAAAGAAAATTAAACCATATTTAAATGCATGAAAAAAAATCTTATTTTCCTTTGTACAGAGCTCGATTTAGGTATGACAAAAGTGCTGTACATTTGAGAGAAACTGAGAAGATTGTAAACAAGGATACAAACTGGCCACCTTTCGCTGAAAATTGCCGTTCTGAATTCAAAGGCCATCTGTGTGATTCCAGTAGATCCTTGAACTTTGACAAAAAATCGATTTTTAAATGCTATAATAGTGATTTTATAATGTCTAAATATAAATCCATTAGCAAAACGTGGAAATAACTATATTATAGAGTGAAAATGGTAACTGAGGCAATACATGATCCGCTGCTGCCATCCAGTGGTCATAGTGGGAATCATGACATTCATTTTAATAGTATTTGTTTTTCTACCAGGTGAAATCTTGGCAGAAGTCTTCCACTTAGCATGGCAAATTTTCCATTAATTATCTCTATAAGTAAAAATGAAAAAAAAAAAATGCAGATGTTCTTTAAAATTAATTTTACTATATAAAAATGTGCAAAAGTATTAATAATTTTGAGGCAAATTATATATATATATATATATATATTACCTAACTAAAAAGTGAGCAATAGTACATGTGTTTGAAAATAAAAGTGAATTAAAAAAAATGTGTTCTACTGTTTTTACTTTTCACTTTTTTCCTATGGTATTAAAAAAGGGGGAAGGGGGTTCAAACATTTGTCACTTTTACTCCTGATGAGTTTGTATCCTTCCATGCACAAGCTGGGCTTTTGGTCATTGACTTGCAGAAAGTTTTCTGCGTGAATTAGAGTTAGAGGCTACTAGAATACAGGGGGGCGCCGACACTGATCTTGCATACCCCTCGGCAAATGTGCAGTTGCGCCCCTGGCTCTACGGGCACAAAATTGAAAATGTTAGTCAATTACATTTGAACGCACATAGAATTACATCGGGAATAGATATTAAAAACTCACCATGTGCTGTGGCTGGCTTAGAAAGTGAGCTTTGGGTGGATGGAGGAGAGGCCAGACATGCAGGGCATCAGCAAGTTAAGATGCAGATGATTTTTTTCTTCAGCCCTAATGTTCTGCTCGTGCCTCTGCTGGATTTTTTTTTGTTTGTTTTTTTTTTAGAGCATCCATTCCTTTACTCTAATGAAGTCCACATAGCTGCACAAGAAATCTATAGCCCTATAAAATATGAATGATTATAATAAGTGAAACAAAACAGTATATACAAATAATAAGCAAACAAAGTAAATAAATCACAATAGGCATAAACGTCTATTACCCTTTTTCTCCCTGTCTGTAGCCTCATCTCTTTGTAGGTGCTCTTCTTGTGCATCCCAAAGCGCATCAGACAGTCACCCTCACAGCCAGGTAACATGTCTCTCTCTGCCTGGCACTCTGATGGACTCTGTGACCTGTTTGAATGTGCAGGCGTACTGTAGAAAGGCATCTTTGTTGGCCATGAGGGCACCTCTGTCCAGTCTGCCAGCCTCGCGCTCCCGCTGATGCCCAGACAGGACCATGAGGGAGTAACCAAGGTGGTTTTCTAGCAGCCACTTGAAGGATTTATTCCTGTATTGACCAAACTGG